CTGAAAGCGCCAGAAGTGCCAATCTGAGCTTTTTTTTTTTGGTTTAAACCACTTTCATTCACTCTAACCCCACCCTCATTGCCAAGCGACCTCAAAGGGTGCCCCCAGGGCCAGTGGATGGCATGGGCATCTTGCCTGTGACCTTGTTGGCACGCTCCAGCAGGGCAGTGTGAATGTCCTTGGCACAAGCTATCTGGGCTTTGATGACGGTCAGGTACTGTGGGTATGGCAGGCTGTCGGGCTGCACAGCATCGGGCTTGGTGGCTGTGGGCACTAAAGTTGGAGAGTGCTTGGCACTGTCACAGCTCTGTGACAGGCACTCATGTGCCAGGTGCAGGCAGAGCTCCAGCTGGTCACAGAATGCATCAAACTCCTCCAGGCACTTGTCAAAGCACTGTATGGGTCCATCACTTCTCTTTTGTCCGTTATCAGTGTTAGTGTTCTGAATCAAGTTCTGGGCTGCAACCTTCATCAAAGTCTGCAGACTCCTTCAGCTGTGGGATAAGCATCTTATAACGCTGTACAGGGTCAAAGTCTTGTTTCTGTTGTTGCTGAAGCCCGCTCTGGGCAGGTCCCACCAACTGTGCCAGCAATTGCTGCTGCTGTTGGGAACCTGGGCCACCAGCCAACCCCGGACCTGACACACCAGCAGCTGAGACAGCCGCCAAAGCCTGCCGCTGTGGCGCAGCCATTTTCCTCTCTGAAAGCGCCAGAAGTGCCAATCTGAGCTTTTTATTTGCTACACTTTCTATGATTTGTGGGAAGATTTTTTTTCTTTTTAACCTTTTGAGTAAAGATTGGTCAAGTTCATGAAAATCATGGCTAGTCAGGGGCCCATTAATTTTAGAGCTAACACTGAACCTTGTTTCCAGACCCATGTAAATGTAGATTGAGATCACGAACAGCCTGGGCCAGCCAGATAGCTCAGAGGGCTGACCAGATAGCTCAGTGGACTAAAGCACCTGCTTGGGCAGAATGCAGTAGCTGGGGTTCAATCCCTGTTCTGTGCCCGCCCCGCCCCTGGGGCGCACTGAGACAGTGGTTGAGACTGGGCGTGGTGGTACGCACCTATAATTCCAGGGCTTGGGAGGCTGAAAACAGGAGAATCTCTACAAGTCCAAGCTGTGTAGTGCGATGCTATAGACCCTGTAGACCCTGTCCTAACTACATAAAAAAGGGAGCATCCAGACACTTAACTTTTGGAAGTTGTGCAAGTAATACTGTGCTCCTCTTAAATATGTACACTGACATGAAGTTCACTAATGACTTTTCCTCAGAAGCACCAGGGTAAGTTCCCTACACACTCAACCTGACCCAGAAAGTTCAGAGTTGCTCTTCTTTCTGAGCCAGGGCTCTTGTCCAGGTTCTTGATGTCCTAACCAAGAATTAAGTGGAACTTCTGAGAGTAGCAACAGGATTGATGATTCATTTGACAGAGAAAAGATGCAGTGTGTGGGACACCACCAAGCTGCACTCTCCTGAGAAATGCTTGCTTTAATCTTTCCCTGAAGTTATCTTCAGCACTATTCACTGTGATATGCAGAGCTGACTATATTAACCAATTCCCTAAATTGGCTGAGAGTGTGGTGTATCTCACAGCACGCGGCACACAGCACACAGGCAAGAGCTGTGTTGTCCCATCCTCTTCACTCCCCCAAGCCTCCCTCCTCCTGCTGATGGCTGGAATGGAGGCTTGAGCACAAGCTCGTGAGATTCCAGGGCTACGGCATGAGATGACATTTCAGTTGAGGCTATGGGACTGAAGAAGAATTATACTTTCTTAGCAGGCAAGATACCAACCTTGCATACATCAAGCTATCTGTTGTATTGCTAAGTGGAGAGTCTCTGTGCCTGGTACAGAATTGCTCTGTTTGTCCTTACAGCGAATGCCTGCAAAGTGTCTTTCTGCTAGCGCTCTTCCACAGCTTCCACCCACCTCCCTGATTGATATCAATAAAAGCCATGAGTTCCTGCGTGTTAGCTCAGTTGTTTAAGTGCCTGCTTAAACAAAGCACTCAAGCTCAAGCTGCTGTGGTTCGAACCCAGATGCGCACGGCAAAACCAGAAATGCCCTAAAAATAAAAGGGGGCCAGGGAGTTAGCGCAGTAGAATAAGTGCTTGCCTGGCAAGCGCAAGGGCCTGAGGTCAATCCCCAGTTCCGCAAAAAATAAAAATAAAAATAAAAATAAAAATAAAAATAAAAAAATAAAAGCCATGAGCTTTTAGACTCATGACTTCTGTTCCACAGAGAACATTGGTCATCTCAGAGCTCTTCAACTGCAAAATGGTCTTTTATCTTTCTTTTGCATTGGTGTGCCATATTGCCAGGTGGGAGACTTGAATCATCCTCAGGGGTTTCATTGTAGTACAGGCTACAGGGCAGCAGTGGGTCAGTGAGAGGAGCTCACAGCTTGGAGGGGATTGGTGCTGAGGGTTTCACACCATAGGGTTCAGGGTGAGGTTGAGGATTTCGTCTGAGTTCTGACCCTTGCCAATAAGCAGCTTCACTTGACTCCCTCCATCAAGCAGTGGAATTTTTGATTTTGTGTGGCCCTTGGAGGAACTGTCATGGTCCAAATTGAAATATTTTGACTTGATTCTTTTTATCAGTAGGGTAAGATATCAGACTATAGATGAAAAACAAGTAATTGTCCAAAGCCCGGGGGAGGGTGGTAGTGGGTGTCAAATCTACATAGTCAATGACATGGTAGTTAGGGTTGGCATCAGCAAGGGTTGCAGGTGACACCCAGAGAAATGTTGTACATAAACAAAGTTACCTGGTTGCCTTTTATCATTGAATGAAGACCTGGGCATCCTGACCCTAGGCTAACGTATGACTCAGAAGGGCGATCAAGTTCCAGAAAGTGGCCCCAAGGTGGGCTGTCCTTTTTTATCCAGCCTTTTCCTTAGCCTTTCCTGCCTCTTTCCAGTGGTATGTTCGTAGCCAAAAGTATGTTCTGCGGTGATTATTGATGGAGGGCCCTGCATGTGCTGAGAGTAAGTGTAGTAATTGTGTAGAGCCCATCTTCACCCTCGGTCTTAGTTACTTTCTGGTCACTGGGACAAAATACGTAACATCCATGAGGAAGAGGGGAGGCTTATTTGCCTTAAAATTTCCAGTATGTTCAGCCCAAAGTCATTGTGCTCCAGGAGAGAAACCACATGGCCAAGGGGCATGGTGGAGGGAAGGTTCAATGCAGGGCAGCAGGGAGCAGAGTGAAGGGAGGAGCCAGGGTCAAGAGTAGATCCCTTCCAGGCCACACCCACAGTGACCCTCTCCAACCAGACCCTACCTCCTAACCACACCTTCAGCCCTGAGCTTATCAGTGGACGAATCCACTTGCAAACACAGTGCCCACTATCCAAACTTCTGGGGGCATTTGAGAGCTGAACTATAACAGCCTCCATGTAGATTAGGATCTAGCACTAAAGATGACAGTAGGGCATAGAGGAGTGAAGATAAAATTCACCTGATATCTCCCTGAGAGGCAGCGAGTTGAGTATTGTTCAGGAACTCTGTTCTTGGTTCTAACTCTCAGCAAAGGTACTTTGTAGCTTTGTGACACTGGAAATTAGTTCACTTCTAAAACAGGGCTAATAATCATACCAAACCCATAGGTTGTTTGCGGTTTTTAATAAGATTGATTTTTTACAAGATGGTGGGCATTATGTGGGGGTATGGCTCTTAAAACCACAGGGTAGTTGTGAAACTCTCAGGAATCATCATTTTGAGGTTCCCAAGTTGCATCTTTCTCCCGTGGACATATAGCCTTTCCCAAGGCTTCAGGCGAAGAGGAAAGCACCACACCCTTACCACCACCTGTGGCAGCCACAGCAGTGAGGAGGGGCAGAGCGTGGGAACATGCTGAATTGGATTTAACTGCAGTGCTTTTCCAGCCATTCTCTGGGAGGTCCTGCTCCTCATCTGTGAGCTGAGAACAGGGGAACCTGTGGCAAGAAGCAGAGGTGGTGCTGTACTCTACAAGCCCCAGCCCAGGCTGCCTTTGCACATCTCCCCTGCTGGCCACCTTCCCATCCGAGGTCGCCATGACAGTGTCCAACAGGGTCTCTGGAGATGAATCTCACCGATTCTGCAGACCAGGTGCCCCTCATTGTCCCTGGGCTGCGTCAGACTTCCTTGCTGTTAAGCATGGCTCAGTTTCCTTCAGTCCAAGGCTCATAGAGCTGCAATTGTGGGTACTGCTGCTTAGAAACACACTCTTCACATGGCACTGGCCTGGCATGGGTGCCAACCCTGAGGGAGCACAGAGATCAGCCTCACTCTCAGAGAGCAGAGTGGACCAGGAGGCCCAAGTGGCACTGCCGTCTTAGGCTACCATGAAGCCAGGAAGAAAACAAGCAGATAAAAGACTTTATTTTTGGTACCGGGAATCAAACTCAGGACCTTGTGCTTGCCAGGCAGGCACTGTGCTGCTGAGCCATATCCCTGACAGAAAGACTTTCTGATGGAGGAGGAAATGGCATTCAAAGCCTCCTGAAATTAGGTCAGAGTTTCCAAAAGAAAGTTCTGTCTAGACTGGGCATGTGTCACACGCCTGTAATCCCAGCACTTGGGAAGCTGAAAACAGGAGAATCACTACGAGTCTGATCTGTGTAGTGAGACCCTGTAGACCCTGTAGCAAATGCAGAAAGAAAGAAAGAAAGAAAGAAAGAAAGA